CCCCAAAACCCCAAAACCCCAAAACCCCAAAACCCCTTGAAGCACATTAGGCTATATATTATTCGGCGTGAAATTAAAAATTTATTTTGATAATAGAATTCACAGAGAATGAAATTCAAGAATACTTAGTCCACTCAAAACTCAAATAATACCTCACTGGTCACTCCTTCTAAGCCTCATAAGTCAAATTTATAATTTGGACCGAGCTCATAAATGAATTTGAAGAAGCAAATATTGTCTCCTTCTTAAGCTTTGTCATCTAGATGCTCTCCATTGAATTCTAGAAGAGAAAGTGATCGAAAATAAAACTTAAGTAATTGCTCTGCTTTAAATAACACCGGACATAATTTTCTCTTTAATCAGATCTAATCTCCACAGAACAAAATTTATGTTGTTGAACAATTAAAATTAAACTTCAATGATACTTCATCTAATAGAGCTCAATCAAGCAGATAGGGATAAAATTGGGAATCATCTAAAGCACAATAATATTATCATAGCAATACCAATAATAAAAATAATGTTTCTACAGCCCTTAATTCTACAATGCAAATTTCATCTCATACTCCAGATTAGACTAAAAGATTTTTTGCAAATCCTATGATCAGTAATAAAACATAAGAAATATTCAGAAAGTAGATAAAAGAAAGGGAAATTGTCTCAAAAGAAAATGGTATTTAACAGCTTCAAATATTAAAAGACTAGCAAGTTCAGAGAGGACTCTAAGATTAGCCAAACTACAAAGGAAGAATAAATACTCAATTTCAATCACCTACTTACGCATCTAATGAGTTATTTTACCAGGATGATAAGGGAGTATTGAAGCCAAATGCTTTTAGAGCTGCTTCATCACAATAAGCTCAAGATAAATTTATGAGAACTAGTCAAGTTTAACCACCTCCATTCTAAGAAAGCAGGACTCAATTTCTACTTTAGCAAGATGGAGAAATGACTAGGAATAATTTCGGCAAGCGAGTTAGCTTAAACATGAAGAATTACTCTTCAATATCTATAGGAGAGAATGATGATCTTAGAAAAGCTTATGAAAGATCTGCCAGTTAATAAAGCGCAAAATCAGCTTCTAGAATTAACATTAGAAATGCATCAAAATAAAATTCCTTAAATTTTTCTGTGGTAAGTTAGAAAGTCTTGAATTAAAGTGTAATTTAAGGACATACTCAGTAATAAATTGGCTTTAGTCCGAGATAAATTAGAGACAAGTCTATTTAAAATAAAAAAGCTGATGTAAATTAAACCTCTTAAAAGGCCACATATGAAGGAGTAGCCTCAGATAAACAGCTTGCAGAGACTAAGATAATTTGGCCCAGTAAATGCAAATAAAGTACAGGACCTATTCCATTTTCTAAAAATGCAAAGAGCATTCCGGATAGTGGTCCTAAAAAGACAATGGTACCAAGTGTCTTAGAATTAGGATCTAATACTGAACCAGATAGTGGAAATACCCCTAGATAAAACAAATACTATGAATTGAAATTATTGAGTCCAAAGACATAAAGTATTACATCCGTTGTAAACAACTTTTCTGGTGATTAATTCAAATTCATGCATAATGAAAGGGAATAAAGCCGTGAAAAGATGAGAGAATAGATAATTCAAAGATTTTACAAGGATAAGGCTAATTCAATTTTGAATGAAAAAGCAGAGAAGCTTAAGCTGTAACATCTATAGGATACAAATGTATCTCTTTAAGTAGGAAGAGATGATTCTGAGATTAGATAGCAGGCCATATGGGATCATTATTAGTATATATAGGGCTAGATCCAATGCAAATTAGCAAAGAAAAATTAGGAGAATTCATAGCTTTAAGAGCAAAACTTGGAGCTAAGAGATTAAATTGACCGATTCAATAAATGGAAGAACTAGCTAGAATCGAAAAAGAAAGAACAAGATAAGAAAGTCATTCAAGATGGTTTGGCCAAGATCATTTAAGAAAAATCTACTGATCAATAAACTAGCTTGAAATGTAATACGCAAAATGCCTAAATCCTAAAGTAAGCCATTAGACAAGAATATAAAACCAGAAAAAGAGAATCTATGATTGAAAATCCTAGCATGTTGCAAGGACATATTCAGTCAGAGATGAAGTTTAGACAATAATAGAAATAAGAAGATATGAATGAAAACAGTGCCATCCATGAAATTAAAATTATGAAGCCTTTCAGAATGGTTTAATGAAGTTATTTAAATCCAACTATCTTTAAGGAGCTAATTCAATCAATGATACTTTGACAAGCTTAACTCTAGATTGATATAATTACTGTCTATTTTCACGAAATGATATGAGTTATTACTTTTATTTGACGAAACTTTTTTATTACACAACTAATACTAGATTGATGGGGTTTTGGGGTTTTGGGGTTTTGGGGTTTTGGGG